AAATTCAAACGAAGTCTAAGTTTTAAACATTCGGTTGCTTTTGAAAGAATTCGTCCAAACAAAGTCATAGCAGCAACAAAGTGGTTAATGCAAAATAGTGCATTGTTTCAAAGTGATGGAATAGAAATAAATCAGGAATGGGAATTTCAAAATGAAGACTCTGAAAGTGATGACAATTCCGAAGAAATCTCAATATCTACATCAGATAATGATTGTTTGATTGATTCATGGACTGAAGGTACAAATATTGAAGACAGACCATCTGGAAATACAGATACTATGCTACAAATTGTAGATTTTCGAGAGTTTAACCAAATTTTGAGTGTGGCACCAGGAGAAAACAATACATCACTAAGTATATTTCAAGATAAATACTCCGAATTTCTTGCATTCCCAGCGATTTATTGTGGACAGTCAAGACCTGACAATACTTCAAGACCTGTTCCTTTACATTATAGTACCATCTGTAAATGGGAATTGAGAAATATAGATAGGAGATGTGCAACATGCATACCAAATTTGTTTCACAAATTGAAAAAGTTGCAAATCAAGCAAATTCAAGAAAAGGTCATGCTAGCAATTCGAAAATGTAAAATGAATGGTAAGAAGTATACAGCAGCACAGATTCTTGATTCACAAACGACTCAGTCTATTGTTAAATTGAATGAAGGATATCAGGTTTTGCGATCATTACGTGGCTCTCCTCCATACTGGGAAAAAGCAAAAAAAAAAGACTAATTGCTATGATAAATCAATTATGATTACCTACATGGTTTTGCTCATTTTCGGCTGCGGAAACTAAGTGGATACCATTATTGAAAACTTTAGGTGAGTTGATAGAAAATGTATATACAGATGATGAGATTTTAAGCATGAATTGGGAGAAAAAAAGCAAATTAATAAAAGCTGATCCGGTAACCTGTGCAAGATATTTTGACTTCAGATTCAGCAAATTTTTCTCAGATGTCATGTGTAATCAATTGCATCCTATTGGCCAGATTGAGGACTTCTTTTACAAGGTTGAGTTTCAGCAAAGAGGATCTCCTCATGTTCATATGCTTCTATGGATTAAAGATGCTCCAAACATGAAAACACATGAAAATAAAAGAATAGAAGAATTCATTGATAAATATGTTACGTGTGACAAAGATGGAGCAGACAAAGTACTTGTGAACTATCAAACACATAGGCATGCAAAAACATGTATGAAGAAAAACAAACCCATATGTAGGTTTAATTTTCCCATTCCCCCAATGCCATATACCATTATCCTTTCACCTTTGGATGAGGAAGATGAAAACTTTGCTTCTGCCATCTTCAGTGATATTTGTGCATACTTGAACTCTGATACATTTAAAAGAAAGGATTTAACATTTGAAGAATATTTGTCGGAACTAAATCTAGACATTGGAAATTATTTTTATGCTATTCGATTATCCCTAAAGCAAGACAGGATATTTTTGAAACGGAACCCAAAAGATATCAGAGTGAATGCATACAACCCCATATTACTTGAAAGCTGGCAAGCCAACTTGGACATTCAGTTTATTTTGGACCCATATGCCTGTACAACATACATTGTTTCCTATATTTCAAAAGGACAAAGAGGGATGTCAAATTTGCTTCGCCATGCATGTGAAGAGGCTCGTAGGAATGATTCTGATATTCGTCAACAGGTTCGCAGAATAGGAAACAAATTTTTAACACATGTTGAAATAGGGGCTCAGGAAGCAGCTTTCATTGTTCTTCAAATACCTTTGCGCCACTCTTCAAGGCGTGTAACCTTTATTAACACTTCCCCGCCTGAAGATCGTGTAGTGTTGTTGAAGCCAAAGCATGTTTTAGAGGAATTAAAGGATGATTGCACTGATATTGAATCAGGCAATATATTAACTTTGTGCCAGCAAAGACCAAAAATTATAGAAAGATTGTGTTTGGCAGACTTTGTTTCACAGTTCTATATAAAGTATAATGCTACAAAGAACAGAAGAACATTAAATGAGGAATATTTGCCTGAAGATGAATATGAAGAAGATATGTCTGAGGACCATAATTCTGTTCCATTAGAAACTGAAGAATTATCCAAATCTTGTGTGTTCAAAAATGGCGTAGAAATTGTCAAAAGGAAGAAACCATGTGTCCTTAGATGGGTCCATTTTGATAAAGAAACAGATTCAGAAAAGTATTACCGTGAACTTCTTTTGTTGTTCATTCCATGGCGTAATGAGGAAAACGATCTCATTAAAACTTTTTCATCCTTTGAGGAAAGTGTCAAATCTTGTAGATCACAAGTTGAAAAGAAATAAGGGGAATACCAAAAGAGAGAGATAAACATAAATGATGTAGAGAAATTGATACACTATATGGATGATGATACGTGCTCTGAGTATGTTGCTCCTGGTTGTGAACACCAAGATGAAATTGTCAAAGAAGAAGGAATGACATTATCAGAAAAATATGGATGTTTTAACCCTGGAAAACATGCACCAGAGTATGATGCTGGACTTGACATTGGGATAGTTCGAAAGCAACTAGAAGAAGACATATCTCAACTTGGAGAAATTGATGAACAGTCATACAGAAAAATGGTTAGAAGTTTAAATGAGCAACAGAGAGAATTTTTCAACCATGTTTTGCATTGGTTGAAAACAAGGGCTGATCCATTATATGCCTTTATAACAGGGGGAGCTGGCGTTGGAAAAAGCGTTGTTACTAGAGCTATGTATCAAGGGTTACTGAAATATTATTCACACCAGTTAAATGAGTCCCCAGATAATTTTCATGTTTTGTTGTGTGCAGCAACTGGGAAAGCAGCTCACAATATAAATGGTGCCACTATTCATTCTCATTTTTGTATTCCTGTAGGACAAGGGTTTTCATATAAACCCCTTGATAAGCAGCAGTTGAATACATTAAGAACAAAATATATACACTTAAAAGTACTTATCATTGATGAAGTATCCATGGTGGACCAAAACATGTTCAATTTTGTGAATTTGAGATTGCAAGAAATGAGAGGCTGCCAAAACCCTTTGGAGGTGTGAGTGTGATAACAGTAGGAAATTTATACCAATTGAAACCAGTTATGGATAAATGGATATATTCTTAGTCTGAGCGAGATTATGGTCCATTAAGTGCAAATCTTTGAAAGGATAATTTTCAAATGTATGAACTTACAAAAATAATGCGACAAAAGGACGACAAGGATTTTGCAGAGTTGTTAAACCGACTCATAGAAGGAAAGCAAACTGCAATTGATATTAATATTTTGAAGAGGCATGTGAAAGAAGATGCTGTTGAGCTTTCTGAATTACCACATCTGTATACAACAAGAAAAGAGGTAGAAATGTATAACACAAGGGTGTACCAAATGGCACAAAGAAATATGAAAGTTGATATTCCGGCCATTGACTGGGTTATCGGAACGTCAGATTCAAATATACAGTCGAGAGTTCTGGATCGAATCCCAGATGATAATTCTAAGACGATGGGGTTATCCTCCATACTTAAACTAGTTTTAAACATTCCAGCTGAAATAACAAATAATGTGGACGCTCAGGACGGTATTACAAATGGTGCTGCTTGTATAGTGAAGCATTTTGATTTTAGTGTAGAGGGATCTAACAGATGTAGCATTGTTTGGGTTGAATTTAGTGAAAAAGAAACTGGAAAAGCTGCACGAGCAAAATTAGCAAGGTTGTATGAATCTGGTATAAGTAAAACATGGACACCAATATTGGAAATAACCAGGATATTCAAAATTCACATGAATGGAACATACCAGGTTAAAAGAAAACACTTTCCTTTACAACTGAGTGCTGCAAAAAACCATTCATAAATCCCAAGGCTCAACACTCTCAGATGCGGTTGTTCACTTCGGTTCGAGGAAAAATGACCATATGCATTACATTGGATTAAGTAGGGTTGTGTGTCTGCAGAATTTGCATATTTTACACTTGAATGAAAATAAAATTTCTGTGTCAATTTCAGTGCAAGAAGAAATGGATAGAGTAAGACAAGCAAGTATGCTCCAACCATGTGTCAGAAATTTACATGACAATTTGTCACTAGGGTCCATTGTTTCCTTCTTTAATGCAAGATCTCTTCATCGTCACATTCTTGACATGAAAGAAGATGTTACCATTCTTCCGTCTGATATGATTTTCGTTTCTGAGACTCGTTTCATGGCCTCTGATAATGGTGCCTCTTTTGAGATCCAGGGTTTTACATTGCATCGAAATGACTTTTTTTTAGCAGAGATGGAAACAGACCCTCTTACGGTTAAAGATGCCATTTCATCGAAAGTAAAAAAAATCAAAGAAAGTATTTTTGGAAAAATACAGGTTTTGTCAGTAGATATGGATGTTGGAGAACAAGTTTCATTTATTTTTTTGTACATTCCTCCACAGGAAAAAAGTAATGAGGTCAAAAGAATTTGAAAGAAATCTTGAAGCATCAATCAAACAATTCCAATTCTATGGTTTTGGCTGGTGATTTTAATTTTGATAGTTTAAACTCAAATGAATATGCCAAGCATATGTTGAATGAGTTCAATCTTCGATATTTGCAAACAGACAGCACCACAGACTATGGTTCTGCTTTAGACCATATTTGCACGAACTTACATCCTACTCAGATAAATTTTTGGGGCACTCAAGAATCATATTACTCTGACCATAAAGCGCTATATGTCTCAATTAAATAGGCAGTTTTATTTAAAAATGTTAGAAAAATGCAACTGAACAATCATACAAAATTATTGCCTTATTCTCAATGTACTTTTCTTTTCTTTTTAACTGCACTTTCAAAAGAATAAATGCTAAATTTACAATCAATTCGTTACTTTGAATTAAAAAAAATATACTTAGGAGAAGTTTCTTATGCAACAATCCTTTTTATTATAACAAAGTTATTTGCATTAGTATGTAAAAAATGTATTTATAAAATTCTTCACATAATCAATTGGTCATTGATTTTAATTCTTGTAGAGATGCTGACGCTAGCAAAGCTAATAAATTCGAAAGGGAATAAGCCTTATTCCCTTCCACTCAAAGTAAAAATTTGCGGACTTAGTGGAGTGACTAATTATCAAGGTGACGGAGGAGAAAAAAAAAGAATACAGAGTTTTGGGAGTTGCAGACAACACCTTGGAAATGAAAACTGTACTCTATGACATGACAAAAGAGAACATGCTGCAGCAAGGAAGCTCTGTAATTCTTATGAATTACATTTATAAGACGGATCCAACAGAATCGATCATATTAACAAAAAATTCAAAAGTAATGAGGACGTCCAACATTGATGTTGGGCAAGAGCTGCTGGATAGGGGAGAATTAATCGCCAACCCTCCACCAGCAGAGACCATACCTATCAAAAGAGTTAAGAGCAGCCCCGTAAAAACCCTTGTATCCATTCAGGGTCGAGTTGTTTCGGTAAGTCAAGTTTTTACTAGAATAATTTTTAAATTTAAGGATACTGATAAATACTTTAAAATGAATGACATAAAAACAGGAAGTTGTGAAACAATATCTGCTTTATTCCAGGAAGAGATGATTAGAACTGTTAAAGTTAAAGGAAAGGATGTCCAAGTAAAATCGGTCACCATAAAGGATGAAACTGAATCGGTGAAAGTTTCATTATGGAGAAACCTTTCATATTCAGCTGGAGTTGGTAAATTTTTGAGCTTTACTGATGTAGTTGTTACGAGTTACAACGACGAAGTTTCTGTGTCAACCACAACAAAGACAACCATCCAGGTATATAAACTGTAATAGAGATTATAAATTCCTTTTACTTGAAACAATGTCTCTTGAATCACAAATCTAATTTAGGTAACTGAATTATGCAAACTTTTAAACATAAGGTTTTTTGAAGTCTGTATGATATTTTCTAATATAAGCCTTTATGACATAAAGTCATAAAGTAGCGTATCTTAATTGCTCTTATCATAACATTTAAATAGCTTTAAAAATCATTAATAGTAATTATAATTCACAATCCGTTATGTAAATAGCTATTCTCCTAGTATTGACTATTGAAATAAGATATTATGAAGAGCATTCTTTCATATTGTTTTCCATCTTTCAATTTAGGAAAAAGAACCACCAACTTCAGTTGTGCGGGGATCCATTATTGGATTTGAACCAAATGACAACAGTGTTGATCTGCTAATGTCTGTTGGAGAAGAATTTCCCACATACACTGTTTCAGCAGACATCTTAGTAAATTTCTTTGGCTGTACCCAAGATAATGTCACAGAAACATTGCAATCAAAACTTCCTTTCCCTTGCATATTGCAAGTTAAAAACACTACAGTCGAATCGGTGTCAGAGTAAATTTGAATTTAAATCAATTTTAGACAAGGCATATTCTAGCACAATGACATAAGCATTTTGTATCATGATATGTTCCTTTATTGTATTTAAAGATGAAACAACCAGTATATCTTTGGATTATTCAAATATATATTTTACTTTTGGCACTTCATTCCAAATCATTTCGTTTTTTGGGGAGGAGATTGAATTTCCCATTGTTTAAATTTATCTGGACTTTATTACTTGTATTTCATTTTCACTATTTCAAAGCTTTGTTTCTTCACTCTGTTATTGTGCGTAGAGAAATGATATTACAAAACCTTTGTATTGAGATGTATTTTACTGAAGCATGGAGAACATGTTATGTAATGTTTATATATTGGATGCTCTGTATTTCAAACCCTACTTGATGGATGACATGTGATTGTATTTACATGAACATGCATTTTTCTAATATAGATTGAAGTCTAGATTAACACTTTTGAAAGTGGCAGAGAATAACATGTGGCAAGATTTTCAGTTTTATCATAATTTTGCTATGATAGTGTAAATCTAACTTTCATGATGACATTGATCCAAAATTTTTGTAGATAATTTTAGTCATAGTTTGCCTAAGTATTTGGTATACTACGTCCTTTCCTTTAATAGATGATATGTTTTGTAGTTGTTAGATTAATTACATAGGAGCAATAGTTGCATCTTACTGGATGTAGCCAAAATGTATAGCCAGTGATATATTGTTTTAGACAGTTTGTTTGATTGTTATTGATCTTTAAATGTATGCCACAAAATATTTGGTAAGAAAAAAGTCCATCAGTTACTGTATACTGTTTTTGCTCTTTTTTATTTCATTAAAAAATGTTTTATAGAAAGTATATTTTAAAATTGAGGTATCATTAACTGTTAAATTTCAATACCTTAAAGCTCATATTGCACAAAATGCTTCCTTAATTTTAGAGTAAATGTTAAGATTTCTAAGTTTTTGTTTTTATGGTTGTGCATCGGTTTTAATAAACAAACACTCTTTTCTTTGCTGCAATGCATTAAGACTATTTTAAAACTTTGTTGTCAGGATTGCTAAAAAATTATTCTCAGGGTTACCATATTGTATTCACAGAATATTGTTTTCATATAACTTGCAAATTTCATCGTCAATTAATATTTTGTTGTTCAAATTAAAGTATATGAAGTGATGATGAGGTATTTAATAAAAAAGTAAATGCAACATTTGAAAAATGCCGCAAAGTGGCAGAGAATAACGTGGCAAGATTCTCGTTTTTAGCTCACCTTAGCCGAAGGCTCAAGTGAGCTTTTCTGATCAAAATTTGTCCGTTGTCTGTCGTCGTCGGCGTTGTTGTCGTTGTAAACTTTTCACAATTTCATCTTCTTCTCCAGAACTACTGGGCCAATTTCAACCAAACTTGGCACAGAGTATCCTTGGGTAAAGGGGATTCAAGTTTGTTCAAATGAAGGGCCATGCCTTCTTCAAAGGGGAGATAATCATGAATTCATGAAAAATTAATGGCATCATTAAAAAATCTTCTTCTCAAGAACCACTGTGCTTGAAAATATGAAACTTATATGGAAGCATCCTCAGGTAGTGTAGATTCAAGTTTGTTCAAATCATGACCCCCGGGGGTAGGATGGGGCCACAATGGGCGATCAAAGTTTTACATAGGAATATATAGGAAAATTCTTTAAAAATCTTCTTCTCAAGAACAGCAAAGCCATGATTGGTCATATTTATATGGAAGCATCCTCAGGTAATGTAGATTCAAGTTTGTTCCAATCATGACCCCCGGGGGTAGGGTGGGGCCACAATGGGCGGTCAAAGTTTTACATAGGAATATATAGGAAAACTCTTTAAAAATCTTCTTCTCAAGAACAGCAAAGCCATGATTGGTCATATTTATATGGAAGCATCCTCAGATAGTGTAGATTCAAGTTTGTTCCAATCATGACCCCCGGGGGTAGGGTGGGGCCACAATGGGCGATCAAAGTTTTACATAGGAATATATAGGAAAATTCTTTAAAAATATTCTCAAGAACAGCACAGCCATGATTGGTCATATTTATATGGAAGCATCCTCAGGTAATGTAGATTCAAGTTTGTTCAAATCATGACCCCATGGGGTAGGATGGGGACACAATGGGCGATCAAAGTTTTACATAGGAATATATAGGAAAATTCTTTAAAAATCTTCTTCTCAAGAACAGCAAAGCCATGAATGGTTATATTTATGGAAGCATCCTCAGGTAGTGTAGATTCAAGTTTGTTCCGATCATGACCCCCGGGGGTAGGGTGGAGCCACAATGGGCGATCCAAGTTTTAAATAAGAATACATAGGAAAAATCTGTAAAAATCTTTTTCACAAGAACAACAAAGCCATGATTGGTCATATTTACATGGAAGCATCCTCAAGTAGTGCAGGCTCAAGTTTGTTCCAATCATGACCCCCGGGGGTAAGGTGGAGTCACAATGGGTGATCAAAGTTTTACATAAAATACATAGGAAAATTTGTAAAAATCTTTTTCTCAAGAACAGCAAAGCCATGATTGTTTTTTTATGGGTGCATCCTCAGGAAGTGTAGATTCAAGTTTGTTTAAATCGTGACCCCCCAGGGGTAGGGTGGGGCCACAATGGGCGATCAGAGTTTTACATAGGAATACATAGGAAAAAGCAAGCCTTTTAAAATCTTCTTCTGAAGAACAGCAAAGCAATAATTAGTCATATTTAAATGCAAGCATCCTCAGGTAATGTAGATTCAAATTTTGTTCAAATCATGATTCCCCCCTCCCCAGGAGAATTGAGGGGCCATAACAGGGGATCATAGTTATACAAAGGAATACAAATGATATATCAATAAAAATTGTCTTCTTAAGAACAGCATACCATTATTTGTCATATTAACTCAAAAGCATCCCTTTGAAGTATAGATTCAAGTTCAAATTAACACCCCCCCCCCCCCCACCCGAACCACTTCTATATCAAAAGTTTTCAAGACTCAACTTATTTCTGCTTTTTCCTAGCCAGAGTGCTCAGGTGAGCGATGTGGCCCCTGGGCCTCTTGTTTTTGTTTTTTTTTTTAAGTTTTGCTATGATAGTGTAAATATTACTTTCATGAGGACATTGTTCCAAAAGTTGTTTAGATTTTTTAAATCATAGTTTACCTAAGTACTTGTTATACTAGGTCCTTCCCTTTAATAGATGATATGTTTTGTAGTACATGGGACCAGAAGTTGCATCTTACTGGATGTAGCCAATAGGTTTTACCAATGATATATTGTTTTAGACAATGGTTTCATTGTTATTGATCTTTAATATTTGCCACAAAACACTGGAATCATTAAAATATTTGGGGGCCAATTTTTGATGATTGCTTGAATTTTACAGATACGTAGGGACATAATTTGTGTATACTCTTATATCTAAAGAAGGTAGTACGACTATGTAACCATAGTTTGTTCATTTGTGGAGGATGTATATTCGTGGATAAGAGGTACCCCTAGATTTGAACCACCACGAAATATAATGATTTCAAGATACTTGGAAAAAAATATAAATCCATCAATTACTGCATATAGTTTTGTATTGGGTTTATCAAACAATTCTATTCTTTGCAATAACATTATTTTAAACTTTTTTCTCAGGGTAGCTAAAAATTTGTTCTCAGGGATACCATATTGTGTTCAACAATCATTTTTTGTATTACTTACTTATTTCTTTGTCAATTAATATTTGTTTTGTGCAGATTAGTTAATATTAAGTGATGATTACATACTTAAGAAAATGGGTTTTGCAACATTTTAAATGTCTACATCATTATACATTGCTGAAACATTGCTATCAAATAAGATAAGTTGAGGACAAAATTTAAAAAAAACATTATAAACTGCAATGGATAAATGCGTGCTAGTAATATTCATATGTTTGCTTTTTCAGCATTTTTTAACTGGATATCGTAGATAAGTGTTTTTTACATTTAAAACAGTAAATTTAAACTGTGACCTGATTCTTTCAATCCAAGTTTGTATATTAAGAATTTGTTGTAATCAGTAATTCTGATAGCATTATTTTTCTTTTTAGTTTTTATATTTTTAATTGCATGTTTTTCCCTTATTTTAGCTGTTGATTTGTGAACATATATTTCCCTTTATAAAGAGTAGTTAGTATTTGATTTCTTTAAGTATGTCGCATGAAAGTGTAAGCGACTATTGTATACAATAATTCCATTCTTGTTAAATACTGCTGTAGATTGGACTCATTAGTTTCAGAAAATGGTTAAAAACCATTTTTGTTCTTTTTCTATTAAGAAGTTGCTTTATTTTTTTTAATATAAAATATTTTTGTTTTTACAAATTTGTGCCATTATTTTCCTGCTTAAAATTTCTAGTCAATTTCATATGCAATACTTCTTTTAAATGATAACAAGTGTCCAAAAACTATTACACACAGGTTTAATCATTTAATTCTGTGCTTTTTGACCATTACAATGTTGGTACTCTTTAATTTTTTTGGTAAAAAACCCCCACTTATTTGAATGCAAGCTGAATTGTTGTTCTTGTATATTTAAGCAATTTACTCAAAATACTACATCTTAATTAATTAATTGTTTTTCATAGTTTTTCATATACTAAGGTTTGTTTTACGATTCATTATAATCATGATAAAAGATGTAAACAAAATACAACAAACAAACAAAAGAACAAACTTACAAGTTTAGGTACACGAGAGAAAAGGTATAGCAAAAGCTTATTTCTCAAACAAAAGTATTTAAAAAAGATACTTTTTAAAATTGCAAAAGCATCACAATATTGCATGGTCATATCTTATGTATCTCACATAACCCAAATTTGGTATTTATGATGCATTCAGTACCATCAACTCGTAACAGTACTTTCAGTACTTTGATTTAGTTGTACGATCGCACACAGAAACGTTTGGCATGTGTACTTTTCAAATTTTTATTTTGACGCTTTCTGTTTGATGGAAGAACTTCGAATCGGAAAACATTTATGAT